AGAACCAAAAGGGGTTTTCTTCATTACATAAATCTGAATACGACTAGCCAAAAATAAAAACAAAAGTGAAAAAAGCACTCACTGGAAATTTTAGCCCCAAGTCTTCATTTAAACTTAATATTGATGATTTCAAAGAAGTTTAGAAGAGTTACATACAAATATTCTTGAACTATAACAATTTCAGATCGATACAAGTAAGTAAAAGATATTTTGTATTTTAAGTTTTATCACAGAGAATCAAAGGCAATCAACTAAAGATAAAATTGTATTTTAGTAACTTAAAAACACAACTTCCAGGAACAGATGAGAAACAAAAACATCAATTAATTATTTTGATTTTCAAAATAACTTAATTATATTAATTAGAGATATAACAAAGGCCTGCTTCAAAGGAGGAGAAAGTTCTTAAAATATATTGGTTGTTTTGCACCAAGGTCAACTTTATTTTGAACATAAAAAACTTACATTCTTTCTCTTATCACAAAAGCTGAAGTAAATATGTTCTAGTCCTCAAATGTGACTATTTGTGTTTTGGGGATAAAGGGAAATTTGCACCCTTATTTATGGCTTCTTGTTTCTTTACAATAACCCCATTCAGGGAAATAAAAGGCACATTTGTTTTACTGATTCCATCTAAGCACATTATAAAAGGCGAGATGACAGTCCAAAAATCTATACTTAAGTTATTGGAATGGAAGAGGACTGAGTGATCCCTTATAGAACACACAGACGTCAGACTTAACACCCCAGCTAGTCCTCATCATGATCTGGAATAAGAGCATCGGTGATTTTGGGGACATGAATAGAGCTGGGTTACGGGAAAGCTACTCTAGATATGACATTTCATTTTCTGTGTGTGCATGTAAATAAATTAAATACATAGGATTGTTAATCCTCAGTGATACAGTTAAGAGTACTGAAGATTCAAAGGTTGAAGATAAAACGGTAAGACGGTGAAGCAAAACAGAAATGGAAAATAAGACAACTAAATAGTATTGGCCGTTATTTAACATGCCATTACATCATATGTATTTTTAAAGCCAGGAATTTATGAAATTTAGTGTAACATAATTTGGACTGTTTTATTATCAATAACCGTAAGAAACTTTTTAACTGTTCCAAGCTGCATTTGTTTATTCTATAAGTTAGGAAAATGAAAATAAATAAAAAATAACAAAGAAAATGAAGCTCAGGAAATAAGAGTATTTGATTCTGAAATATATTTTCCTATCATGGGAGAGTCTCCTGAATCTGAGATGTTGTAATATTACTCAGTCCATATTTACTGCATAATGATTATGCTCTCTTGGTAGGATAAAAATTAGACAAACATTAGAGATGCATATGAGAGTTGACATAATAAAAACTGAAGCCAATGTCTTATATTCAAGGGGTTTACAACTCTCTCTGGGCTAGCACAATCTGAAAAGCAGGATTAAAAGGGAAAAACTAGTAGATACCTCTTTTGATGAACACTCAACTAGAAAACGCGGTTTTCCTCTTTAAAGAAAGAAGAAATTGTTTCTGCCAGCTTATGGAACAGAACTTCCCTGTGATGTCTGATGACAGCCTACCCTCCAATCTCTGTAAAAGTCACACTAATTATTAATACACTGGAGCAGAGTTCAGGTTCCATTTTGTCATACAGTCTTAGCGAAACTGCC